GTGCAAATTAAAAATTAACTTAAACGGACAGCCTGGAGAACTGAGGAAGTGACCGCTTAAACAACCAATTTGCATCTCACTTGAGGGTCGACATCCAGACACAGTCTAAGGTGCTGGGTTTGACCTTCCAGTGAGGGACCCAGCCATCTGCCAACAGCTGCTGGCTTCTCGTGCTCCCGCCAGTTCCACCCGCCCCAGTCCTATGTATGGAGGGCGTGGTCTTGCCCCAGATGGGCGGGAGGGCTTGCTGCTGGGCAGCCACCTAGGCTTCCAGCGTCCCCACCCCCTTTTCTCAGGGGTGTATGGTGTGGATTTCAGTGAAAGGAGATGCTGCTGGGGGCGGCTGGGAGGGGGCAGTCACTGAAGCCCCTGCCCCTGCCACCCCTGGATCGATTTGTCCTGCATTCCAGCCCAGGAGATGGGAAGCAGATGGTGCTGGAGCGGGGAGGGGTGAGGTAACCAAGGAACTAGGAGACCTTCCTTCCAACCAGCCCCCTGGGGGGTGGGGAGGGGTCTCTGAGAGCTTGCAGGGGATGCAGTCTGCAGTATCCTCCAAAAAGATGAGAGGATAAAGCTCCTGTCTCTGCCCTGTCCCCAGGGATCTGTCTAACACGACAGGTGTGACATTGCTGATTTTCTTCTCCAAACCGCCACAAGAGGGGACTTGGCAGGAAGGAGCAGGACGGTGGGGGGGCGGGGGGGTGAGGAGGGGAATTGGAGGGGCCTGAGTAGGAGCTCTGGGGCAGGAGGGCAGGGGACTCTAGCCAGCACAGGGCCCTCCCTCTGCACCATCGGTCCCCAGACTCTCAGGCCGCATGTTGAAGGGCTCCCTGCTTGTGTCTGAGGCCCACCGATGCTGCTGTCCACAGTGGTGCCACTTGTGTGGAAGGTCTCCAAACCGCCACAAGAGGGGCCTTGGCAGGAAGGAGCAGGACGGTGGGGGGGCGGGGGGGGGAGGAGGGGAATTGGAGGGGCCTGAGTAGGAGCTCTGGGGCAGGAGGGCAGGGGACTCTAGCCAGCACAGGGCCCTCCCTCTGCACCATCGGTCCCCAGACTCTCAGGCCGCATGTTGAAGGGCTCCCTGCTTGTGTCTGAGGCCCACCGATGCTGCTGTCCACAGTGGTGCCACTTGTGTGGAAGGCGGTTCAGTGGCAGCCCGGGAGCTGTGCTGAGGACTCAGGCAGGACCCTCACGTTTGCCCTTGGGGCTCCCGCGAGAGGGCGGGTTGGGGATCCTTTGGCCTGGGCAGGGGGCTCCTTCGGGGTCCGAGTCAGTGCTCCAGAGCCATGGGAACGGGGCCCGGGTTGGAGGCTGCCTTCCTTGTGTTAGGGCGCTGGCTCATCCCCGCGTACCCTGTCCTGCCCCCAGGTCCGTGGGGAAGGGCCCAGCTCCCGAGGGACACGAAGAAACCAGGGTTGTTTTAAAGACTTTATTTATAAAAAAGTACATTTTTTTTCCGCAGTACATTTTTCAACCCATCATTTTTTTTTTTTATACAAGTAAAAGGGGGTGATGCAAACACCCCCTGGGTTAGAACCAGGAGAATCTGCTGGGCCGTCCCTGGGACCAAAGACGAAAACAGTGACTAAGAAACTGAAGCAAAGGCAGTGCATCACACTCCGGGGGGAGGGGAGGGGGCAGCTTCTCCTGGATTTTGTTTCCATTTATACAAAAAAAGAAAACCATTTTTTTTGTTTGTTTGTTTCCGGCCAAGAATCCCATTCCTCACAGCAGGAGTCAGAAAAGCAGCAGCACGGGGTCGGGCAGAGGCTCCTCTGGCCTTACAATCGGGCGGCAGCAGCGAGGTCCCAGAAGCCCTCACCGCCTGGGCCATGGCACAGGGGCCTGGGCACGTCTCCCCGTGGGCCTGGGGCCTGGTGGGGCCCACCTGAGGGTTCCTGGTGGCAGTCATGCCTAGAAGGTCTCCGTCTGGCCCCCCGGGAGGCCTGGCAGCCCTCCCTTCCTCCCACGTGAGCTGCCCACACCACCTGACACAATCCCCGATTCCTCTGCTTGGAGGACGGCAGAAAAATTATTGCACCAGTGACTCGGGCACGCGGGAGGGGGTTGGCATGGGGGCACATGCCTGGGAAACAGGGCCCCCGTGAGTCTCTCTTACGGCCTGAGCGCTGGGAAATCACTTTTTCCTGAAGGGCTTTCATCAGGACCAGGCCAGCCCCTTGGCAGGTCTGTGGGGCTGGGGCACCTGTGCTTGGGTCTGTCGGGGGGTGTGTGCCCCCGTGCACGCGTGGGCCAGGCCTGACGCGGCTGCACGTGCACGCCTGTGCTCCCTGATTCCACGCTGCTGCTCTTCAGATGCTCCTGATCAAAGGGGACTCAGAGGGTTGTTACACATTAGAACAATATCAAAATCTTAAGGAAAGAGGGGTATTGGTGGAGTGGGGGGCGGGCAAGGATGGGGAGGGCAACAAGAGGCAGGATGACAAGTGGGGAGGACTTGGCACAATGCAGACCAAGTTTATTTCATTTCCAGCAAAGGCAGAAGCTCAGCTCATGTTGGGGGCACGGAGAAGCAAGACATCCTCGTCTCTCTGCTGGGCCAGACCTCCCCTGTGCCAGCGGCTGTGGCTATGGACCCAGCAGTAGTACCCACCGCCTCACAAACTTGGGGCACAGAAAACCCTGTCACCCCAGGCCCAAGTGCCGACCCCGGCCTCGTGCCGACTCTTGGTCCCGGGTAGCAGCTGCCCTGCTGGGTGTGCTGCTGATGGGTCCCTGCCAAGGCAGGAGCCTTCTACATGGCCCACACATCTGGCGTGGACCCCACAATTTGTGCTTTGCTGGAGGGGAGGGCTTGGAGGTGTCTTAAGGGGGACTCAGTGCTTTGGCTAGGCCCGGGGGCCTCCTAAGTCCATCATATAAAGAGGAAGAGGGGGTGGCAGTGTAGTTAAAGGAGACACAAGAGGAAGAGTCCTTTCAGTCTTGTGATTTCAAGGGGACAGAGAATGCCTCTGCCAGGCAGGTCCCTGGGATTTCCTCCTGCCTGGGGGCAAGGGGACCAAGCAGAGGGGCCAGGGTGGTGTGAGGTGGGATGGGGTAGTGATGTAACATGGAAAAGGTCCTCTGCCCTGGGGGGGACACTACTACTGCTGGGAGATGCAGCCCAGCTCCTCCACCCCCTCTGCCCTGTGGCTAGAAAGACCCCAGAAGTTTCTCCCAACTCCACCCCATCCAGTACTCCCAATGCCAAGAGAGGGGAGTACCGCCCCAGGGCTGGCATGGCTTCAGACTTCTGCTACGTGGCTACTGGGTGGTCTGGGCTGGGGCTAGGGCAGTGGGGGCTGGGGGAGGAGCGTGACCCAGCTGGCGGGTCCAGGGTTGCCAGGGCAGAGATGGAGCTGGCTGGGGGTTCCATAGCAGCACCAGGGAGGGGAGGAGTAGGGCGGGAGGCGGGGGGCTCCCTGGGGAAGCCTATGGCAGGGTAGGTTGGTGCCCGTGGGGCACAGAGTGGTCTGCCTAACTCCCCCCAACACTTGCCATCCCACAGAGCCCCTGCACCCTAGGCTGAGTTCACTGGAATCCTCATGGGCAGGCATGAACCTGCCTCTCCCATCCCAGGGTCTCTCCCATCTAGGGTGCCGGGGGGATGGGGTAGGCAAATGGAGGAACTGAGGCACTTGGAGCTGGGGGAGCAAAGAAGGGGCTGGGCGGGGCCTTCTCCCATGGTGTCCTGGGGAAGACCATCAGTCTCCGGTGATTGACAGGGACCCAGAGCCCCATTTAGGAAGGGAATCTACAACTCAAAGGGAAAGCTTCTCCAGGGTTCCCCACCTCATCCAGAATGGAGACCAGGGATAGCTGAAGCAGGACGGGGAGGGTGGCGAGCAGCAGCTTCAGACTCAGGATCCCTGGCTCCCCGTCCCCCTCGCACTTTCTGGCAGGCCCAGAGCAGCTACATTGGCCTTTGTGGGCCAGGAGCTACCTGCGCTCTTCAGGGTCTTATCAGCCTGTGTTTGCAGAGCTCCTTCTCTGGTGCCCTCTGCATTGATCCTCCTTCACCTGTAGCTCCTGGAGGTAATTCCCTTCTGGGATCCCAGCTCTGACTCCCCAAGAAAATCAAGAGTTGCTAGCACTTGATAGATAGGGAGAAATTCAAGAAACTTCCATGCTGTAAGGAGCAGTTCAGAGCCAGCCTGAGATGCTAGGGTGGAGGCACCGAAGGGCCTAGTCTCAGCTCTCTCTGGAAGCTTCTGAAGGCTGCCCCCATCCTCAGCTGGAAGGAAGGGGGAGAGGTGGAGCAGAGAGGCGGGCCTTGGGCAGTGTCCAGCCTGGGTAAGGCATGTGACCCCAGGGTGAGCACAGGGGTAGACACGAGCGGCATATGTGTGTGTGTGTGTGTGTGTGTGTGTGTGTGTGTGTAAGTGGTGTGCGTACGTGTTGGTAGAAGTGTATGGGAAGTGTGGGCCGGAGTCTACCTGGAGTCCCGCTATGTGGGGAGCAGACTGGGGTAAAGAGGAGGGACACACCAGAGCTGGGCCACCTTAGCTCCCTGGAGGCCAATGAGGAAAAAAAATGTAAAACTAACCTTGCCGGGAAAACACACTGCCCAAGGCCTCAGGTGGGGACCTCAGCTTGATTCCCTTAACAAACAAAGACAACCCTGGATGCTTCGGAAAAGCCACCCCCCTCCCCTACCCCTTGGGCGCAATGGCTGCCTAGACCGGGGGTCCGAACTCCAGCCGGCCAGCTCACGGTGGGGTGGGGGAGGGGGTGCCGGGTTCCCTCTCCCAGGGAAAAAGGAGTAGCATCTGGGGTCGGCGGCAGGGGGCTTCTCCTCTTGGAGCCCCTTCAGCCCTCCACTCGCAGAGAGAGGACACAGACAAATTCCAGTGTTGGGGGCAGGGGAGGGCTGGCTCCCCAAACCCCGGAGGGGACGTCTAGGTACACAAGACGGGACTAGGGCTCCCTGCGGAGGGAGGCAGGTGGGGTCAGGGGAGGAAAGGTACCAGCAACACCGAAGCCACAGTGAACACACGCCATGGGGGAGGGTGGGGGGGCAGGGAGGAAATCAGAACAAAGCCAGGTGGCGTGCCCTGGGCTCCCAGGTACCCCGAGCAGCTGGGTGAGTCTCTGCCGAGTTCCTGGGGCAGTGGACGGTGGGGGGCGGGCAGGGGGCGTGCGGGTGTGGGCTTGGGGCAGGGGCTCTGCAGACGGGGCTACACGTACCACTCCTTCTTGGAAATGAAAGACCCGTCGTTCTGGGAAACCATGTTTTCCGCCAAGTCCAGCTGCTCAGGGTCGTACTGGTAGCCCAGAGTCCGGTCCCCGTAGCAGCCGTCCTGACGGGCCTCCGCCTCATCCACCGTAAAGTAGGGCCGCTTGGCGTCCTCGTCGTATTTGGGGTGAGGGCCGCCCACCTTGCGCTCGCCGCCTCCTCCCTCCTCCTCCTCCTCTTCCTCCTCGTAGCTGCTGCCGCCCAGGGGCCCGGCTTTCTTCTCGTCGTCCGAGTCCTCAGGGTACTGCAGGTTCTGGGCCATGGGCGGGTGGTGCTGGGGGATGCCGGCCTTGCTGTAGCCATTGCCGTATACGTGCTTCTTGGTGCTGTAGTCACCCTTGAAGGTGTGGCGGCGCCGGCGCAGGGCCACCACGATCCCGCCGACCACAATCAGCACCAGCAGGATGCTCCCCACCACGCCCCCAATGATGGCCGTGGGCACTGGCCCGGCGCGACGCCCGTGTTCGGGAGGAGACGGGGTGTAGGGGAACTCTGGGTGAGGAAGAGAGATGGAGGGGGACAGTGTCAGTGTCTGCTCCTGGGGAGTCAGCAGGAGTGGCAGGGGAGGGAAAGCCAGGAAGTGGGCCCAAGGCCAGCTCCAGTTCCAAAGGCCCCCCCAGCACCCCACCCATCCAGGAGCCCAACATGCTGCAGTGTGGGTAACTGGAGCCAGGGAGAGGCAGAGACAGCCTCGTAGCCCCAGAGCCCCCATGCTGACTTTCTCCTTGGATGTGGAGCCAGCCCACCCATGACCCAGGGTCCAGTAGACGCCAGTCACCGCCATGACACCCCGTGAAGTAAGTATGCTATTAATTCTCTCCGGCACACGAAGAGACGGGGCTTAGAGAGGTCAAATAACTTGTCCGAGGCCATCAGCCAACGACGTGTCGTTGATTCTCTCGCACCGAAAGCCTGTGCAAATGTCACTGCGCCCCAGCACCACACCTTGGCTTCTGAGACTCGGAGCCTGGAGCAGACCGGGTGCCCCACACCTGATTTCATCTGCTCCGAGGTGCTGGCCCCGTAGATGCCCTGTGAGTGCCAGACGCCTGGGCTGTGGTTCTTGGCTGCAGTCTGGCCCTGCAGGGCAGGGTGGGGGCCAGGGTGCAGCCAAGCTGGGCTATGAGCATAAGACGCTCAGCATGGCTGTGCAGAAAGGGAGCGTGAGAGTACGTGAGCAGCAAAGATGACAAGTATACACGAGAGAGCACGCGTGCCGGCCTACACCCTTGTTGTCACGACCGGCCCACACACGTGCTGATGTGATGAACGTGTGTGTACAAATACGTACACACTGAGGACAGAGCAGAAACAAGAAGGCAGAAAAGGTGAAAAGAGAAAGGAAGTGGGTGGGCAGGGGGAGAAGCCTGGGCGGGTGCCTGTCTGCCAGTGGGACCGGGCCAGAGGCCGAAGGGGTCCCCAGGTGAGGCTGAGGGAGGCGGTTCCCAGCACCACCACAGGGTGGCACCGGAGACCACGGCTGGCCTTGGACGGGAGGAGCCGGTGGGCAGGTCCAGGGCAGGCCTGGAGGGCTGACCTCGGCTGCTCTCAGCCCTCCTCTCTTCAGGCCAAGGGAGGCGGTCAATCTGGGCATATGTTCTGGCCTTTGGGAATCTGTTTCTGCCAGCTCACTCCCCGATTCAGCATCACTCACTCCGTGGGAATCCTGTTCCTCCTATGAGACCAGTCCCTCCTCCCAGAGGTGGAGCCGGTCTGGTGTGTGAGCCTGTGGGGTGCAGTCTGCGGCGGGAGCAGGGCAAGGATTCTAGAAGAGACGAGGAAGGGCCTTCCACGAGTTCGGGCTGGAAGGGCTAATGAAAACACGGGAGCCGAAGAAGGGAGGCGATTTGCCTGCGTCACATGGCTGAGCTGGGACCACCCAGAGGCTCCTGCTCGGGCCTCTCCGCGGGCGGGAGTTGGCAGAGAGAAACACAACCACTGAGGACTCAGCTTCCCACTTGTCACCACTGTGTCCTCAGTGCAGGTCACCGAGTGGCTGCCCAATAAATATTTATTAAATATTCGTCCTCACCGCCCACTTCCAGAACAGTCTCCCTGAACCTCAAGCGTCTTCTCCTGGTTCACCAGGTCCCATCTATTTACCGCCCTGAAAAGGGCTACACACTTGCTTCCCGCGAGGTGGGAGATGTTGCCACAAGAAATGCCCAAGAGGCAGCTGGCAGGAACGTAGCCACCTCTGTACTTTCAGCCTGCCGGCTCCCTCTTCAGTTCTTACCCGGTACCCGCGTGCTCTCTCCTCTCGCCACCTGCCTCATCATCGCTCCATCCACCCACCCACCCATCCACTCAGCAAACATGTACCGAGCATCTATTTCGCTAGTCACAGGATACAAGGAACTCACAGCCCAGCTGAGGAACCAAATGACACTCTTAGGCAAAGCAGCATGTGGACATCAAGGGCGCTGGCCAATAAGGGCTTCAGGAGTGCAGTGCAGGAAAGCCCTGCGGCCTGGAGTTTGAAAAGGCTTCTTGGAGGAGAGAAGACTTAGGCCAAGCCTTGAAGGATGACTAGGACTTGGAGAGGCCAGCAGAAAAAGAAAGGCATCAGGTGGAGGAACCTGCCCTTCCTCTCTGACATGTTTCCTTTGCCTTCCAATAAATACAAGGAGTCCTTGACCTTCAGCTTTCTTTTTGGAGCCTTCTGTCTGCAGACTGCACTGCTGGGCCTTCTCTCTGCTCCGGCCGCCTGGCTGGGGGCTCCATCCTTGGACTTTACCCTCCGCTTTCTGTCCTAGGGACAGACCTGGCCTCAGTGTCATGAGTTCCCTTGATCCTGCTGGCTCTCCAAACCATCTCGGGTAGCTAGCTCTCCCCCAACTCTGGGGCTTTATCTCCAAAGGCCTCTGGGACAGCAGTTCCCAAGCTGTGGCCATGGAACCTCAAGCCATTGGCTCAGAGGGCTGGCAAAAATACTGGGGTCAAATGCTTCGGGAAATGTCGGTAGAGACAAAGCATCAGAGCCCTTTCTTCTCGTGCACACTGTGAACTGTAAGAGGAACACACAGTGTTTCCCAGCCTACTGGAACACAAACCCCACCCTCCTGACTCAAGGACCATTCACAGGAGAGGTATTTGGGGACACGCTTTGAACACTCTTCTATCTAGCACAACCTCACTTGGAATTCTCTCCACCCGCTCAAGGCCCATCCCTCCCAGCATGGTTCACTGTCTTCCCTCCAAACCCACTCCATTCAACACCATGACTCCACCACCATTTGTCTGCTCTTCCAGTTTAGAATCTGATTTCCCTTTGACTCTTCCTTCTCCATCTCTTGGGTCAAAATCTGCCCCCAAATCTTGTTGACTCTTCCTATTCAATAGCTTTTCACTTGACACCAGGTTTTACTTTTATAGTAGGTCCGTGAATCTCCCACCTTCATTGGGTCTCTGCCCCGCCTTTAGTCACTCCATCCACAGTCACCAGGTTAATTTTCACTGTGTAGACACTACCATTCCCTTTCTCAAAAGACTAGCAATGACTTCCCCATTGCCTGCTGGACCACGTCAGTCTGGTCTTCAAAGCTTCCATCACGCAACTTGATCTTGGGTCTGGCCAACTCACTGTTCTTGCCGTCCAAGTAGATTCTTTTTCTTTAAATTTATTTATTTATTTTTGGCTGTGTTGGGTCTTCGTTTCTGCGCGAGGGCTTTCTCTAGTTGCGGCGAGCGGGGGCCACTCTTCATCGCGGTGTGCGGGCCTCTCACTATCGCGGCCTCTCTTGTTGCGGAGCACAGGCTCCAGACATGCAAGCTCAGTGGTTGCGGCTCACGGGCCCAGTTGCTCTGCGGCACGTTGGATGTTCCCAGGCCAGGGCTCGAACCCGTGTCCCCTGCATTGGCAGGTGGATTCGCAACCACTGTGCCACCAGGGAAGCCCCCAAGTAGATTCTTTACTGCAGACCTTTGCTCATGCTGTTTCCCCTGCC